GGGGATAACTTCGGGGAGAGGAGGAGGAAGGCTTCAAACTGAGGACAGGAGGCCTAAAACGAAAGTGAGAGACACAAATTCGAGCTCACCCAGAAAAGAAGAACCTAGTAGAAGTGACGGTGAATAAAGGAAAGAGAACCGTAGAGATTGGAAGAGAAACGACGGAGAATGGGGGACCTCCAAATGGTCCAATACGAAAGATAGCCGGTGGAAGTCTAGGGGTGAGCTAGAGGCCAGGAAACTGGAAAGGCGAGAGGACGAAATGGCAAAGGAGATAGAGATGGAGAAACTGCAAAATAGCAGTCAGAAAAAGGAGGAACTACCTGTTTGAGCCACTCCACAACCCGGGGGGCGAGAAAAAGGGGACCCTAGTCCAAAACGGACGTGGAATGACAAAGCTTACATGTATTGTGGCGATGAAGATCATAGAAAAAGGGACTGCCAAACCATGCTAGATGCATTAACAGAAGGAATTATCGAATTAGATGATAAAAAATATGTGATGTGGGCAGATGAGGGGAAGCATGTGCCCTTTTTGCCTTCGATGAAAATGAACGTTGATATCCAAAGGAGAAAAATGAACGAGGCGAAGGCTAAACAAGTGCAGGTACCCTTGGCAACGAAGGTTTCAAGGGTAACCTTCGAAGACGAGATTGATGGAGTACCTGAGAGTCCGAGAATAGGAGTCTCCTCTATAAAGTTTGAGGAAACAATGAGCGATGGGGAGGCTTTCGTTTGTACCCAAGGAGTTGGGGAGTCGAGTCATGGGAAGAAAAAAAAAACGGACCAACCAATGACGGATGAGCAGGTGGAGTCGCCTAAGTCACCCCTGTCCCCTAGGAGAAGGGGGCCTAAGAAGTTCCAGTTAAAAAGCACACCGGACGAAGTAGACCTGAGAGAACCATTAAGAAGAGCGATGGACATGCCAATCCCCATTACTCTTAAGGAGTTCATATTCGGATGTGGCCCTGAGAGGGATGAACTGATAAGAATGATGAAGAAAGCTAAGGTGCCGCTACCAGAGGCAACGAGCGTAGGGGACTCTAAAGTGGAGGCAAAGACTGTTGTATTGATAGCAGAAAAAAGGGTAGCGAAAGAAGGAGAGACTAAATGCCACTGTGAATGAAGTTAGGATGGAGGCTATTGTGGATGATGGTTCAAAATCTACAGTTTGCGAAGATAAGGTAGTGCGAAAACTTGGACTAGAAGTGGATAGGAGCGTTGCCATGACCATGGTGTCAGCTAACAAGTTGAGACAGTTAGCGCTTGGAGTATGTCATAAGGCCAGGGTGGTGGTGGATGGAGTCGAGGCCACCGTGCCAGTGTTCACGATGGAACATTGTTCATCAGAGCTAATCCTTGGGAGGACTTGGTTGACACATGTCAATGCCACCACCGAGAATAAGCGGGATGAAAGTTAGGCAGTCACCATAGATGGGTCTGAGGGAAGCAGGGTTGCACTGAAAACCATGAATGAATTTGATAAACGAGACAAGGTTTCCCTGCAGAGTAAAGGTCAGCTAATGATGCGGAGTTGCCAAATGGTTCCAGAGGAACTAACCCCAGAGCCTCGTAAAGTAAAAGGAAAAAAAATTGAGATTGAAGATTTGGAAGGCAAGTATGTGGTAGACGGGGCTGTTTACCCAAAGGAAAGTGACGACGAAGAGTTTGGAGGGTGCATAAACCTGTCTTTTTTGGAGGAATCCCCCCACACGGCGAGGGGAAAAGATACAAAACCGTAGCCCAAAAAGTTGAGCCGGCTGCGGTTAGCCGTGACAGGACGAGAGAGATAGGGATCACTGAGGAAGAAATAACTCAGATGATCAGGGAACGAAAAGCCACAAAGGGACAATGAATTACTGATGAGCGCTTGAAAGGGATGGACATAGGGGATGAAAACATAACCGAGGAGGAGAGAGAACTGATAATAGAAACATTAAGAGCATGTGATAAGGCGGTGGCCTTCTCTGACACAGAGAGAGGACGAATAGACCCGCGGTATGCTTAACCCCCGAGGATCTATATGGTTCCGCATGTGCCACGGAATGACGCTGGATGGAAGTGTGCTCAGAAGGAAAAGGAGATGATAGTGGACTTCCTGAAGGAAAAAATTAGGACGTTCGTAGCAGAACCGTGTGAGAGTGCCTATGCAAACAAGTGGTTCTTCATACGGAAGTCAAATGGGAAGCTACGGTGGATACAAGACCTGCAGAAAACAAATAAAGTCACGGTTAGAGACGTAGGGTTCATTCCAAATGCAGATCTCTTATCTGAAGGGTCAACTGGACGTTCGATTTATTCCGTCTGCGATATTTTCTCTAGACATGATGAGATTCCGCTCCACTATAAGGACCGACACTTAACTGCGATGCACACGCCATTGGGATTAATCCAGATGATGGTGGTGCCGATGGGATAGACCGATGGCGTTGCAGTTTTTTAAAGAGCGATGGTGGCAGTGTTGGGGGAGCTTATACAAAATTTGGTAGAAGTTTTCCTAGATGACTTTCCGATCAAAGGACCGTGCGAGAAGAACGAGACTGAGGTGAGACCTGGAGTAAGGAAGTTCGTCGCAACTCACGCTGAGGACATCAAAAAGGTGTTAGTGAAGCTAGAAGACGCAAATCTCACGGTGAGTGGGACCAAAAGTAGGTGGGCAGTATCGTCCATCAAGATGTTGGGCTATATCTGTGACAAAAACGGCAGGCAGCCAGACCCGGCGAAACTAGAAAAACTTATGAACTGGCCTACTCCGCTTCGACATATTACTGACATGCGACGACTTTTAGGTGTGGTCGGGTTCTGGAAGAATTTCATAAAAGGGTACGCTGAAAAGGCAGCGCCATTGAGAAAGGCTACTACGTAAAGGGGTAGAGTGGAAATGGACGAGTGAACAAGAGGATGCGGTAAAATTGTTGAAGGATGAGTTTAAGGAAGGAGGTCAAGTCCTAGGTGTTCCTTATTTTGAAGATGAAGAGAGGAGACCATTTGTAGTATACACCGATGCAGGGCTGACATCCGTCGGTGGAGTCTTGGCTCAAAAAGATCCTAATGGTAACGAGAGGCCCTTCAGATTCGAGAGTAAAACACTGAACACCACCGAGAGGAACTACTCACAGTTTAAGAAAGAGGTTCTCATGGCGCTGCATTGCTTGAATATCTTCCGATATTATATTTACGGACGAAGGTTCGTGTTGTGGGTTGATCCAACGACAGTAGCTGCTGTATTGCAAAAAGACTTCTCGTTGACAGACCCTACGATTACTAGGTGGCTCATGCACATAAGGATGTTCGATTATGTCGTTGAGCATCTGCACCACTAATCTACGTCGCCTACAAGCGACGAAGACTAGCTAAGGAAGCTTCACAGCATGCCCCTCTAACCTGGACTTTGGTCCCTCCCTCGAACAGGCAGCTTCGCCCTCGCAGGTAAGCTCAGTCTTTCAAGGAGGGGGGGGGGTGGCATACTGCGCAGCCACACGGGCCTGCAGGGCCCGACCAGACGACCCTGAGTCGTTTCAGCCTAAAAGCCTGAAAACGAGGGCCTACAGGCCCAGTGTAGTTTCAACTTAAAAGCCTGAAAATGAGGGCCTACAGGCCATGTGTCGTTTCAGCCTAAAAGCCTGAAAACGAGGGCCTACAGGCCCTGTGTCGTTTCAGCCTAATAGCCTGAAAACGAGGGCCTAAAGGCCCTGTGTCGTTTCAACCTAAAAGCCTGAAAACGAGGGTCATTTTCAGGCCCTCATAAAGTCGACCTGCTCCGAAACTTAGGCACCAGACCAGGGTTTTAGCACAGGCCATTTTCGGCCTGTTTTCAAGACAACCCTTGTTTGAACTTCAACACCAGGGTCTGGCACGTTTTGGCATTGGCAAGAGCAACCTCCTGGATGGGCCAGCACTATATAAGACTGGCCCGCCCTACGGGCTGCAGGTAGTCACGAGGTAGTTCATAAGGACTTCCCAGGCACTTCACGTGCAGGAGGCAGGAGGCAGTCTTCAGGATTCGGCAGCAACACTCTGGAGGAGCGCTGCAGTAGTAGTAGTAGCGTTAGCAGTAGTCTTCAGCGTTGGGCAATATTAGGAGCTAGAGTAGCGTTGGAGAGAGAGAGATGGTTGCCGGAGGCCAGGGAGACTTACCTTCGGCACCATAGCTCCAGCTTCGTCTTCGATGTACCTGCAACAAGGCGCCACCTTCATAGGTTAGTACCGGACTGTGTGTGAGAGAGAGAGAGTTCTTCTTCTTCCTCTTCTAAGTCCACCATCTCTCCCTCACCCTCTCGTTACCTAACTTCTCGGTATCCACAGACTACGAAAGAGAGAGAGAGAGAGAGAGAGAGAGAGAGAGAGAGAGAGAGAGAGAGAGAGAGAGAGAGAGAGAGAGAGAGAGAGAGAGAGAGAGAGAGNAGAGAGAGAGAGAGAGAGAGAGAGAGAGAGAGAGAGAGAGAGAGAGAGAGAGAGAGAGAGAGAGAGAGAGAGATTGGTGACTTTAGGACTTGACGACATTTGGATCCAGACTGCACATTGGGTTGGAGACATTGGACGAAGGATTATTTGGGACCTGTACCGAAGACTTGGTGTTGACGACATTCCCATCTTCCCCTCTTCTTCGTCTAACCCCCCTCTTCTTCATCTGTGTATGGTTGGGGACTGGCGCATTCTTCCTGTGTGAGCGCCAGGCTCCTTCACACCATGGAATGATGATGATGTATGTTTGGTCTGCATTGCAACATTGATTGTTCGGATCATTGGTATATTAGCCTTCCGCTGCGCTATCTTGTACTATGTGAGCGAGGCCGGTTCTTGTTCTGGTCTGCACCGTTACGGTATGCGACAGTACGCCAATCTACGCGATGAGACACAGATGCCTGGCGGTTTAACATATGAGCATGACCAAAGGGAACATAGTGTCCAAGAGGAAAGTTTGGTATAGCACCTGCCATGCCAGGGCAGGAAATGTCCCGAGGGGGGTGGGAAGTATTGGGGCAGCCCGTTGGTTATTCCTTAAAATTGCAGATTCATTGTTGACGAGTTATGAAACATCTATTTATTTATTTTTCAGTTTTCCAACGCAAAGAAATGGATGTGAGTGCACAAAGTGAAAGGACTTCAGGCCCAACGGCTCATGTTGGGATCCTGCCATTGCCCTTTTTGTCTGCTGTTCACCGCCAGCAACATTTTCAAAGAGGGAGCTCGGTTTGAATGTGAAACTGCATCTCCCAATGAGTGTGCCCATAGCAGCAATGCCAGGAGCTGCACCGATAGGCCAACAATGCCTACATAAAGAGATGTCACCAAGAAATTGACACATGCATGAACCAGCATAGAATGATTATCTCAAAGAACATGGAACAAGAGCTGAGTGCGCATGGGGGCAGCCGCCAGGTGTGGCCAACCTTAGGTGGTCTGTAACTATACCCACTGCACGGGAAAGGGACACAACCCGTGCCCTTACGGTGACTGCCATCACCATCACATCGTGCACAAAAGGAAAAAGAGTGTACATAACTGCTGTACACAACAAATAGACAATCTGAAATGTACACAAGGGGTGTACATGTAAGGGGTGTACAGAAGGAATGTACAATATTGTCAAACAGAACTGCCTGGTAATTTGGTGAACTGTCGGCAAAGAGGGAGAACAGCACAACAAACGAGGGGCCCCTAACTGTTTTGACAGAGTTTCACCAATTCATCAGGAGGCTGAACCCTCAACAGTCTGCAGAATCCCCTAACTGATTACACTGTAAGTCATAATCCACCCAAGGAGTGTACGTGTAAGGGGTGTACAGAAGGAATGTACAATATCGTCAAACAGACCTGCCTGGTAAACCGTCGGCAAAGAGGGAGAACAGGACTTCAAATGAGGGGCCCCTAACTGTTTTGTCAGAGTTTCACCGAATCATCAGGAGGCTGAAACCTCAACAGTCTGCAGAATCCTGTAACTGATTACGCTGTAAGTGATAATCCACCTTAACCCAGGTTCTGCTTAAGCATCAACGGCTGCCCGACAACTGCTACCCTGAGGTGGGCATCAACCACTGCCCTCAAGGTACGTAGGACGAAAATCAAAGTAGACTATCACTCGCCCACACCAGATGGAAAACTCTACAGACTGTTGGTTCACACCCCATCACAAGCCAGCAAAACATCCATGAAACAAAGAGAGGTCTATCACAGCCAAAAACTGCACTCCAGACACGCCGCTGGCACTAGAGGCACAGCATGGCCGCATAGTGACAGGCTCAGGGTGCTATCAAAGTCGTGGTATATATCGTCAAACGGGAGTGCCTGGTAAACCGTCGGCAGAGAGGGAGAGAGGGCAACAAACGGGGGGCTGTGACGAACTGTTTCGTCGGGGTTTCACCGATTCATCCGGAGGCTGAACCCTCAACAGTCCACAGAATCCACTAATATAGAATCCACCTTATAATTTTATTTTTATTTTTAAATTTGGTAAAGAATTTCGATGTGACCCTGAGGCAAAAGTTGTTCAATTTATTTTTATGCATCACAGAGTTCTTTTTCAGATTTTTTTTTTTCCATGCTGCTGGGCCCTTCCCTGGTCCTTGCACGGCCGTGCCGCCCAGTCAAACAACTTGACCCAGGCGGCGCAGCTGGTAGCCCAGGATTTAAGGACTTATAACAGACCATGATCTTCTTTCCTCTGTTGTCCAGACCTTGGGCAACACACTATGGGCAACTGCTTCCAGGATTCCATGTTCGATAGCATTTGCCTCCACTTTGTTCATTGCTCAAAACATAGTCAACTTCCGTTATGAAATTGCTCAGATTATCCACACAGCACGTCATTCACTCCTCTGTTATATCCAGCATGCAGATTCTCTCTTGATAACAACACAGTGATCCACACACAAACATATACAGTCCCCTTAATAATAATAAAGGTGAAAAATAACTGTCTCTGAGAATTGAGATCTTAATTCACATTATTTCCATTGTCCAGGATTCCATGTTCGATAGCATTTGCCTCTACTTTGTTCATTGCTCAAAACATAGTCAACTTCCAGTCAACTTCCTTTACCAAATTGCTCAGATTACCCACACAGCACGTCATTCACTCATCTGTTATATCCAGCACACAGATTCTCTCTTGATAAAAACACAGTGATCCACACACAAACATATACAGTCCCCTTAATAATAATAAAGGTGAAAAATAACTGTCTCTGAGAATTGAGCTGTCTCTTATACACATCTAGATGTGTATAAGAGACAGAACATATACAGTCCCCTTAATAATAATAAAGGTGAAAAATAACTGTCTCTGAGAATTGAGATCTTAATTCACATTATTAAATGATTATTTCCATTGTATTGAAAATGTCTACAGACTCTACACAACGTTCAGCATGGAGGAAGAGGGACTTCAGTAATCCATTTGCAGGAAATAGGACGTGCATGATAAACAAAATACAGGGACCGACAGCATTGTAAGATATGTAAGGTAAGTGGTCTGAAAAATACAAGAAACAGTATGCACAAGAAGTGCCCACCTTTTGCTTCAGAATCGACATAAACAACGTTTCTCTGATAGACTTGATGAGGCGCTCTCCAATGATAGCCAGGCTCCAGTGCTGCAAACTGTATGCTATCAAGCAACCAATGCCAAGTCCAATTAATCCTAAAGAACAAACTCTTGTCTCAGTTGTCACCGCATGATAATCAGCAAAGTATGCTTCAACAATCCTTGACAAAAGCAAGCCCCATAGGGGGAAAACAGCCCCAGAAGCTGTGGCTCCAACTACCCCTAGGAATCCAAAGCCTTTGTCAGGAGTTCTGACAAACAGCAGCCACTTAATATACGGCCAAGGTCCTGGGCAGCAAAAGTCATCCCTCAGGTCATTGAACATGTGGGACACCATGGGCTTTTCAACCCTCCCCTTATCATCCACTTTCCCGAGCATTTTCTCAACCTTAGGCTCCTGTGTGGCAGAAGACTTGCAGCTCTCTTTACTATCGCTCTTGGCATTCAATCCAGACACCGCATACGCCAAAGACTGAATCCAGCCATTCATGTCTGTCGGAGGTCGTCGGATGAGCCTTTTTTTCTCTTCACCAATACTGAAGTCCACAGAGCAGGTGTAGTCCAGGCTGTGGTCACTGAGGCCTGATATGCTGAAAGCAAATGTTCGAACGAGTGAAAAAAAGTCCGACGACTGTCGCTGATGCCCAACATCTGGCCCCTGTTTTAGCTTTTCTGATCCCGGCCCTCGAGAATCCGTGGTGTCGTTTCTGCTGGGACCCCTCAGCCTGCTCGATAATGAACGACTGCTGTCACCCCCACCCCTGTGTTTCCTCCGTCCTTGACTTGAGGTTTGTTCTTGCTCCATAACCATTCTGGCATAGAAGCCTACCGGTCCTCTTGACATCAGTTCATCATGCTGACCTGCCTCCACAAGTTGCCCATCATGCAGCACGACAATCAAGTCTGCGTTGCGTATAGTCCACAACCGGTTAGTCACAACGATTGCTGTACGACCAGCAATGCTGTTATCAACAGCTTTCAACACCATTCGCTCCGAGACGGGGTCTACGCCCAGAGTTGGTTCATCCAAAAGCAAAATTGAGGGATTGCGAATTAAAGTGCGTGCAATTGCAATTCGCTGCCGCTGACCAGCCGTTAACGGCTGACCACAATCGCCAACCTGAAAATAAAACAACATAATGCGGGCCTTGGTATGTAAGTACTTCTGAAGAGAAACAATTTATGATTCCCTAGTGGTCATATTGACGGAGTACAGAACATGCTGAGAAGCCAAATGTCATACACCCATCTTGAAAACGTTTTTCTACCTTTTTTCTTTATAACAAAAATGGGTCCTTGCAGCCCCGGCTCCAGATCCATTCTGGGGAGAGTCAGTCCGGTTCCTTCTCCACCAGCATGTCCAAAATATCTCTAAAATACTGTTTCTGATAGTGATACCACATCCATATGCTGAAGCAGATCACGAAGGTGTCAATCCAATGGAAGCCCATATTCCCTTTCCTAGATTTCTTCTACACTGCATCAAAGAAGCAAAGTGCTTAACTGGAATCTCTGAGGGTTACAGTCACTTTCTCAAAGAAGCCTGGAATCTCTAAGGGTCACAGTCATTTTCTCAAAGGAGAAACGAAACAAAGGGGGAGAGATACCAGTGGTCAGAGGCATGTACAATGGCCATGTTATGGTCAGGTCCGTGTACCATCCTGAAACGGTATTCACCAGTTCGCAGTAGCTGATGCAGATTCCAGGGCTCGATCCCTAGTCCCCACCTTACCTGTGTACAGTGTCTGTGTCGACCCCTAGAGTTGAACCCACGACCTGTGCATTTGTAACAGTTGGTAGGTCGTCGTAGGGTCTATAGGTAGCAGGGGTTCGATCTGTAGACCTGTCGAGTAGGAGCCTTAGTCAGGTCTAGAAGTTGTAGCTGTAGTTTTCCCAAAAGGTCAAGATCGTAGCTGCTACAGTCCAGAAGGGTCAAGTCGTAGCTGCTACAGTCACGAAAGGCCAAGTCTACGGCCTTCCGGAAGGTCCCAGCAGTGGCCTTTCG